CTAGTAACTTACTGTTAACTAATTGTTACATGACTAGTAACTTACTGTTAACTAATTGTTACATGACTAGTAACTTACTGTTAACTAATTGTTACATGACTAGTAACTTACTGTTAACTAATTGTCACATGACTAGTAACTTACTGTTAACTAATTGTTACATGACTAGTAACTTACTGTTATTTCTCCAATCTCAACATTTTCATAGTGAAAGTGAGCACACTGATCGAGTTTTGGGAAGCGGCTGACACCATCGGTGTTCCTACAATAAAACACATGACGTATTCATTAACCAAAACGTAAGCTATACATTATTGTAGAAATATTTTAATTCTGTGTATACTCCATTTCTGGGAAAGAAGTGACAAGAGAACCAGGCCGTTCATGAAGAAATATGACTGCCTTGTTTTCAAGACAGGACCTAACTAGTTACATATTCTATAAACTTATTCTAAGCCTAGTTTATAAACATACTAGCGTATAGTCCGTCAAAACTGACGGGACAACTACTACCACCCCCACCTCATAGTATACCCTAACCTCACATTTCATAGCTAACTGAAATAAATACATTTTGCGAAATCAAGCTTGAACAACAAAGGGGCAGAAAAGTGCAGTCGAGGGAGTCAAACTTAGGTAAATTCCTTTGTGAGCCAATCAAAATTAAGATCATTCGTAAAATGAATTCGTGGCGTATTCATAGAATAATTATTGATAAAAATCAGTTATATTAACAACTTCTAATACATAGAAAAGCCAGTGTGTTTTGGTAACACTACGTTCAAACAATGGCTTTTATGTCATGTTGCTTAGCAACAAAAGTATAACCTAATATTGTTGTTAATCTATGTCCTAAAAGTATAGACAACAAAACTGGAAAAAATATTTGTTGATTTCTTAATTTAGAGTCTCTGTTGAATAAAGAGGTTTGTTTTTATTTAAAACGTTGGTGATATAACAGGAAATAACTTAATTCAGAAACGATTTAAGTTTAAAATTCAATCGATATTCTTACTTTCATGATAAACTTTATGTACTTGACTGTAGGATAGGTTATCCCACACTACGTCTTTACTTTAGACTTATTATACTAACACTCGCTACACTTATAAGGTTTCACGTCTCCCTTGCACCCCTGTCACTAAAATCGTAATGGGCAGTGAGTTAACGAACTATTCCATCTGGATAAATGCATTTTGGCTTTTATGACTCCTCCTATTTCGAGAAATCAA